CCAAGAAGGGCCCGGCGGCGGTGAGGAGGAGGCAGCTGCATCCACTGCTGTGTCCCCCTTTTCTCCCACGCTCAGAACCAGCTTCTGCCCAGCTGATGCCACCTCCTCCACACCTGGGCCGCTGCCGCTGAAGCCAGGCAGCAGCTCCAGCCCCTCCTCAGGGTAGAAGGGTGGCCCATGGGTGGCGCAGGTGGTGGCCCCAGCTGAGTTGCCTCTGCTGAAGCTGCCACCTGCCCGCATCCAGGCCAGCTCCCTGTCCTCCATGGTCCCATCCCACATAGGGAGGTTTGGTGAACTGGGGTGGGGAGGGATGGGCTTGCTGTCGCAGCCCACAACAGCTCCCCCAAACCCTCTATGTGGTTCACATGCCCAAACAATTGCTAACCCTTGCTCTAGGGCATGTCTGCACTGTTGTGCCTGGATGTGCCAGCTAGGACATGCTTCTATAGTGGCAAAGGCATGCCTTTAGCATGTACTAAGTGCCCACATGGGGAGTTAATGCATGGTAGCTCACACATTGGTCTACTTTGCAATTATTTCCCATACAGACTTGCCTGAAAGGGCCAAACAGGCTTGATATTCCATTGATTTTAATGGCACGTCACTTCCTGACACCATCAGACGAGTTAAGGAGCAATGGAGGTGGGTTATTGTGGACTGAAAGCCAGCTCTATTATGCATACAACAATAGACCCTGGGCTTTTTCGATAACAGGATTCTCTATTAACTTATCAAGAAAAAAAGCGTCAGGCAATTAACATGGTTCTAAGATAAAAATCAGTACCTAATGGTGTGCTCTACTATGCTAGAATTAATTTCCACAATTGAAAGAGTGACCTTCACAACCCACAAGCTGCTCAAATGTTCACGTGTTGTGGGACTTCCTTTCCCTTTCACGCATTTTTATATTAATTATGGAGGTCAGGACTGGAAAGAAACTGCGGAGATAATGAGATGGAACAATACTCGCTGCAGTAGTTTGGCTAGGATTAATACTCTCCCCAGCCCTGGAAAGTCTTTGGGAGTTGGTTAGCAGGAAGGAAATCTCTGCAGGGATCTTTTTGTCCCATCTTATCACCTACCAGGGTGCTCCCACCATGGAAAATGCCACAGTGCCCATTCAAAAGCTGTCAGATTCAGAGAAGACTGATGCCCCGGTGTGGGCTCTGGTTCCCACCTCTGCTTCTCAGGTGGAGTTTGTAGAAACATAATTAGCTGCAGCCTGCATTATCCTTATAAATGAAATTCCCCAAAAGTAGAGAGGGACAATTTGTACCCTCTTTGCTTTGCCAAACACAGTCTGCTCATTCCCTCACCCCATGAATCCTTGCAGAAGAGGACATGGCCAAGCCAGAGACATAAGAAGAAGGGGGATGAGGCACAGGGGAGTGGGCCCTTCAACGAAGAGGAGAGGAAATGCAAACACAGGAGGGTTCCCCTCCATGCTTAGGC